TCATTTTTTTATCATTCATAATTTTTTCGCGAAACTGATAAGAGATAAGGAGATAGTATCTTCACAAAAAGTATAGTACTTGACCTGCGCTACAACTTTGCTGCAGAAAGATATCACTTATCTCTTATCAGTACCATCTATAATGAGAATGGGTATTCTCGCGATTTTTCGCGTTTTTCGCGTATTCCGCGAAACTGATTAGTGATAAATGATATCTGTCTTGAGGAAAATAAACGAGGTAATGTAAGAGAGGCAAAAAACCACATCTATATATATAAGAATGAATGTTTGTATGTATGTTCGGGGTAATCTTCTAAACCGCTCAACCGATCCGAAAGTGCCGGGTACCATTGGAAAGGTCTTGAGCCCGCGGGTGACATAGGCCTATTTTTTGGGACATTTTTGGGATATTTTGGGTCATTTTTGGGACTTTTGTCATAAATGCCCAAAATGTCACAAATTTTATTTTGAGACATTTTTGGGACATTTTTGGGACATTTTTGTGGACATTTTTGTGACATTTGTCACAAATGCTCAAAATCTGATAATTTTCACTTTGGGACATTTTTATGATATTTTTGGGACATTTGTCACAAATGCTCAAAATGTCACAAATTTTATTTTTGGACATTTTTGGGACATTTTTGTGACATTTGTCACAAATGCTCAAAATCCGATAATTTTCACTTTGGGACATTTTTATGATATTTTTGGACATTTTTGGGACATTTTTGAGACATTTGTCACAAATGCTCAAAATCTGATAATTTTCACTTTAGGACATATGAGGCTGTGAGAATGAAAATGGCAATGCAGGAATAAACATTCTGAAACGAAACATAAAACAGCAAACACGCAACAGTGAATCATGAATGTTTGAGCAGCAGCAGTGAACCATGAGTATCGGTACGTGTGCGTAAATTCATGATTTACTTCAACACAGCGCTCATTCAAGATTCACTTTTGAGAATTTTCTTTCTTAGCGGCACTTCAGTAAATATTTTTGTTACGTTGCGCATTTGTATGTTTTCGTTTCATGAGTCAGTTTTAAAAAAATGTTATTCATTTCCAAACTCAGCGTAGTTTTAATTCAATCGCGACAAAATATATTATTTCAAATCATAAACCTTGATTTGCGTTAAACAAGAGTATGTATTTTGTTAGTTTGGAATACCAATAAACAGGAGTATGTTTATCTGACTTTGGTTGTTGAATGTTTGTCCAAATTGGTGAACTAATCATTTGTACATTTGGCGGCGCCCGATACTTCAATTGAACGAATTGGTTTTTGAAAAAATAGAGTATGCTTGCATAAATGGTTAAAAATATTAAGTTCTCTGGACGAAGAATAACAGGGGTGCATAAGTCTCAGCACGGAAACGAGCTCCGCTTATTATACGACATTGACATGAACGAACAGCATTAGAATGAATGTACATGAGTGAAATGACAACATCACTGAAACCGTAGCGCATGGAAAATAACACAGAAGAAATGCGACAACAAACAAACATTGCAAAATCACAACGCATCAGAGAGCATCTGTGCTGTTCGCACAACAGCAAATATTCATAGCACGCTGGTACCGTGTCAGTGGAGACTACCAATACCAACGCAAATTAGAACAATTGATTTGTATTGTTGACATCATTGAGTCGGTGCCAGTGCGTTATGAATATTAAGCCGCTAAGAAAGAAAATTCTCAAAAGTGAATCTTGAATGAGCGCTGTGTTGAAGCAAATCATGAATTTAGGCACACGTACCGATACTCATGGTTCACTGCTGCTGCTCAAACATTCATGATTCACTTTTGCGTGTTTGCTGTTTTATGTTTCGTTTCAGAATTTTTATTCCTGTATTGCCATTTTCATTCTCACAGCCTCATATATAAAAAAATATTTGTCAAAAATGCTTGAAATACAAAAATTTATTTTTTCCTTTGTTCACTAAAAAAATACAAAAAATTTATTTTTTCCTTTGTTCACTAAACATTTAATTTGATCAATTTATTATTTTTAATACTCTTATTCTATTTTTCCCAAATATATTTTTCCTTAGAACCAAATTCAGTTTTGAATATAAGTATTAAACGTCCTCTGGTGATGATTGTGGCCCTGATAATTAGATCTGTCGGCAGTTTTCCGCCACTTGGCAATGTTGAAGCAATCCCTGACGATGCAACTGCTAATGCAATCTCACTTTTTGATCTTACAGCAGCTAAAATTAAGTTAAACAGGAACTCTTTCCCAGTACCACCTGGTGCATCCAAAAAGAAAATTCCTCCATTACCACTTTCAAAACGTGTCATTATGGTTTCAAAAGCTATTATTTGATCGCCAATCAGCAGCTTTTTTTGATTTTCTACATATGTTTGAAGCTTTTCAACATCGTACTGTCGCTCTCGTAATAACTCCTTATTAATGAACTGGTTTTGAAGATATTTTGGTGCTGGTAGTCCCAATTGAAGCAGTGTTTTGTTGCACAGTGACATACATTTTTCTTCAATCAAAATAAGTGTTTCATTGAAAATGTCATCCGAAAATTGAATATTGATTTCTGGGTTCATATTTTGAACACGTTTTAGTACATCCTCACTAAGACTCTCATTGAATCGTTCCCACAATTTCATTGGATCATCTGGTGCATAAGTGGAAATGATCACAGCAAATAGCTCTCGTATTCGTTTTGGATGTCTTGTAAGCTCAGCTATAGCTGTGCCATATTCGTATCTTAATAACCATCCTAATAATTTTGAGAGATTATTGAGATCATATCTTGAGCATACACCTCGTATAAGAACCAAATTTTCTTGTTGGAAGTTATCAAGATCGAATCCTGTAAATTTATCAACATTCAATCTTAATAATCATCAATTTCTGAAAGTGGGATCGACCAGAACTGCTCCCAGTTCTGGAAGTGGATCTTCAGGATGGGCCAAGGGCAGTGTCAAACCGGATCTGGTCCATCAAAATACTCAGTTTCAGATAAACATCGTTGTGTAAGCACAACTTTGGATTTGGATAGATTTTTCAAACACAATTTCGGACATATTTTTAAAGTCTAAATTCAATTTACAAGTGATTTTAGATCTGAAATAAATGAGATCTCCATTTTGAAATCTAGGGGTCGAGGCGGGCGAGCGCGAAGCGCGAGCACGCCGAGGTGCCTGGAAACCAATAGCCTTCAAGGCACGCGAAGCGCGCCGAGAAGGCTAGTAGAATCATAAAAACAAACTATATTCCATATATTTCCATACAAAATATATAGGGGTCTGGCCAGGCACCAAGTGCCTGAACTAAGGTGTCTTTTTTGGATCCTTTTTTTTCGTCCTGTTCTAAGGACTTTTTCCAATTTTTAAATGCATAGATCGAAAGCCAATAAAATTTCAGGAAGCTACATGAAATCTCAGGTCGATAGCTAAATTAGAAGTATGTTAAATAAACGCCCAAAATCGAAATATGCCTGGCCAGAACCATGTGCCTGTGCGAGGGTTAAACAAATCGCACCCCAAACCTTCTAATGTATTCCGGCCTTGGTTTAGAGCATAAGGGCTGATTTTTTTGATGAGAAATGTTCTAAACCTAAAAGTAATTTTTCACGAGGAATCCAAAAATGTAATTTGTTCGGGGGTGAAGGGTTTTTTTGACCCGATATACAGAAAAAACTAGTTTTTTTTTCAAAATTATTGTATGGGGACTCCCAAAAGAAGGACTTGGAGGGGGTGACCCATGGGTAAAATAGATAGCCCAGAAAAAATTAGCTATAGTTGATCATACATTTTTATGCAAAATTTCCACTCCAAGAGGTAGAAAATTGACTCTGTAATAATTGACCCCAGATGTGGGGCGATTTCTACCAGTTCAATTTCTGGAAGACTAGGCGCGGAGGGCCGTTGGGAAAATACATATTTCCACTAATTTGGGTATGGAGAATCCAAATTTTTGGGTTTCAGGTCAAAAAAGTGTAACCCCTGGGCAGAAGACCAGGGGGTGGAAAATGGAAGGGCGGCTGCCCCAAAAAATTCTCCTCATCATTCTGAACAACTTTGACATACATCATTTTTTGATCAGACGAAGTTTAGGAAAGGGGGTGGGTCTATCCCCACTATGCCCCAAAAGGCGCTGCTGCCCTTTTGTCAAAATTATTTTTTTTCCATCCCCAATCGATCTATATATTCAATTTTAAAATCCATTTGTGACAGTTGGGACGGTTTACTTGTGAGAATTCAATGACTTAGATATTAGAACGCTAATTCCATGCGTGGAATTATGAATCATCCTTTATTGCAGAAAATGTTGATCCATTTTTATAACGAGGAGAAATGGAAGAAAAGTTCAATTCAAAGAAATTCTTATCATTTAATTAAAATGCTTGATTTGTGACAGCAGATTATTTAATTTAAAAATTGGTATCATATATTATCTTTTAAAAGATTCTTCTTTGACAGGATCAACTTGAGGACATACTTTTTGAATATTTTATTTCTTTCAATCAATTTTTTTAATGAAGTACAGTTTGAAAATTCGTTAATTTTGAAAGTGAAACTAAAAAATAATTGGCAGAAATGCTATGCTGACCTACATATGCATGCTGTGTATGCCTAACTCACTGGCAACGGTTAATGTTTATTGTTTTTGCTTACGAAAATTACTTTTGGTGGTTTTTCGGGCATTTGAATGGGACGATAATTGTTTGTGATCTTTTTGTTCTCCGTATCGAGCATATCACGAAAAACAGCGACCTTTGAAAATGTAAATGAGCAATAAAAAAGAAGAAGAAATCGCGTTTGTTCTGTTCTAATTGACGAACCTGTTGCGTTGACACAATCACTGGGCTTTTATATATGATCCATGTGACAACCTCATTATAGGCTCCCGTTGTCAATGATCCTTTGTACGCGAAATAATTGTCATCCAACTCTTGTTCCGACATCCAAAGCAACGAATCTGAAATGAATAGGTTTTCAATGAAAACTTTTCATATCAACGAATTAGTCTTCGATAAAAATTTGTAAATTTTTACATTAAAAAAAAACAAGGTACTTCTTCTATAAGTGCAGAAGAGTATCAATAATGCAGTTGCAATTTGCAAAGAGGCCATTTTTATCTTCTTTTTTTCAAAATTGATTACAGCAATCAATTAACACACTGTTCATTACCCGAATCAATGGTTGATTTTGACTGTGGATCGATTATATTTTGGATTTTGTCAGAAATTGTTGAGAATAAAACATTTTTTGCGTTTCCTCTGGCTTGAATGAGGAAGGCGACGACAACGAGACCGTCCTTGTATTTGAGTGCCCTCGCAAAATTGCCATATTTCGAATTGTAGTGCACCAAATGCACTTCCATTGCATATCTACACAAAGTTTTGAAGAAATGGAAAAAAAGA